GTGGTGCAATCCTAGCTCACAGTAGCCTTGACCTCCTGGGCTCAAGTGATCCTCCTGCCTCAGCCTCCCAAGTAGCTGGGACTGCTGGTGTGTGCTACCATGCCCTGATAATTTCTCTTTTTTTTTTGTAGAGACAGGGGTCTTGTTACATTGCCCAGGCTGGTCTCGAACCCTTGTGTCACTGAAGGGATCCTCCTGCCTCAGCCTCCCTAAGTGTTGGGATTACTGTTGTCAGCCACTGCGCCAGGACTGGAATTTGTCAGGTAAGATTTTCCAACTGCAGTTAACTGAAACGGTAGAAAGCAAACCCTCAAATAAGGGAGGACGACGGTAACCCAATTGTCCTGCAACTCAGAGAGAGGGTAGCTGTGTCAGCGCCTGAGACAGGGTGGGCTTCAGGGCTGCGTGGCCTGGGTCTTCACTCAGGTCTCATGCTGTGGCATGTGTCTCCTTGACGTTTGGACAAGGCGTCTGTTTTTGCTTTTTCCAAATTCCAGAACCTGTAAAGGAGTCTGTTTTTCTTTTTGTTGTTTTTATTTTTATTTTATGTATTTATGTATTTATTTTGAGACAGACTCTCGCTCTGTCGCCCGGCTGGAGTGCAACGGCAGTGTCTTGGCTCATGGCAGTCTCCGCCTCCTGGATTTAAGCAATTCTCCTACTTCAGCCTCCTAAGTAGCTGGGATTACAGGCATGCACCACCACGCCCGGCTCATTTTTGTATTTTTAGCAGAGACGGGGTTTGCCATGTTGGCCAGGCTGGTCTCGAACTCCTGACCTCAGGTCTCCAAAAGTGGGATTCCAGGCTTGAGCCACCGCTCCCAGCCTTGTTTCGTTTTTAGCAACAGGGTCTCCCTGTATCGCCCATGCTGGAGTGCAGTGGAGCAATCCCAGCTCACTGTAGCCTTGACCTCCTGGGCTCAAGCCATCCTGGTCTCCCAAGACATTCCTGACTTCCATGAAACCCCTGGGTCTCCAGAAACGCCAGTTTCTCTCTTGTGTTCTGAATTTCCTGTGTAACCCTGGCTTGTGTGAAGGGGGCTGGTAATTGGACATCTGTAAAGCTCCTTGGCGGTGGGGCCCCGTCTAAGCTGGCGGTCGGAGCTCCGTGTTAACAAGGTCAAGGTATGGTCAGGGTTTCCAGTGTGGTCCCCTTATGGCCTAATTAGGGACTTGAATGGGTTGGAACACTGGTTGAGTTTCAGTTCAGAGGCTATTTTGATGTTACAGTTCAATCACTTTAGAAAATATAGATTCAGTTCTGGTTCAGGCTGGCTCACTAGGTGTGTGTCTGTATGTTTTAATCTTTGATTTAGTTCATGGTTCACTAACAAACTTAATACATTTTCACCCATCATCAAATTAACAAAGATGAGAGAAATAATCACGCCTAGCCCTCGTGCAGGGTGTTAGATGGGCCGTGGTAATGTGGGGCTGCCGCAGATGTGAATTGGTACCTTTCTGAAAAGCAACTTGACATGATCTGTCAGATGCCTTGAGGATGTCCAGACCCTCAGACCCAGCAATTTCCACCTCCTGGGATTCATCATAAGGATACAATCAGATGTGCACCAAGATTTACATACGAGAGTTGCTTTCTGCAGCCTTATTTAGATCATGGAAAAATCAGGAATCGCTGAAATGCCCCACAGCAGAGGTCTGGTTAACGAAAATACGATAGCGACCGTTGTTTTACAATGTCTTGAGTAACGAGAGGAAACCGTGTATGATACATTTCCAGCGGAAGGGAAACGTTTTAATTAAAGCCGTAACTGACGTGCGAGCCGGCCGGAAGGAGCCAGTGAAAGGGGGTTCTGGCAGAGACCTGCCAGGCCTTTGTGCTGCCTTAGAAGCAGACCCTTTATTGCAACCGAGAGTCTCTATGGTTTGGGATAGAAATTCATTCTTTAAATAAAATTTGAGTGAGTGCTTGGTGACAGGGGCTGGGCGTACAACGGCAAGGAAAATAGGACTCAGGGAAGTCACAGATGAATGGAGAAGACATTTAATAAAATAAGACCTAACATAGCAGTGGCACAAGAAATCTAAAAGCATTCATTTATTTAATACAAGAGCCAGAGGCTGGGTGTGGTGGCTCACGCCTGTAATCCTAGCACTTTGGGAGGCCGAGGCAGGCGGATCACCTGAGGTCAGGAGCTCACCAGCCTGGGCAACATGGAGAGACCCTGAGTCTACTAAAAATACAAAAATTAGCCAGGTGTGGTGGCATGCACCTGTAATCCCAGCTACTCTGGACGCTGAGGTAGGAAAAATCATTTGAACCCGGGAGGCAGAGGTTGCGGTGAGCCAAGATGGTGCCACTGACTCCAGCCTGGGCGACAGAGCAAGGCTCTGTCTCAAAAACAACCAAACGAACTCATTTGAGCTCATAGCAGCTTTGACCGCATAGGCTCAGGCTTAAGTGATCCCCCCACCTTGGTCTCCCAAAGTGCTGGGGTTGCAGGCGTGAGCTGCTGCCATGCTGTTTTTTTTGTTGTTTTGAGACAGAGTTTCACCCTTGCTGCCCAGGCTGGAGTGCATTGGCACGATCTTGGCTCACTGCAAACTCCGCCTCCGGGTTTAAGCGATTCTCCTGTCTCAGCCTCCTGAGTAGCTGGCATTACAGGCATGCACCACCACGCCCAGCTAATTTTTGCATTTCTAGTAGAGACGGTGTCTCACCATGTTGGCCAGGCTGGTCTCGAACTCCTGACCTCAGGTGATGTGTCAGCTTCGGCCTCTCAAAGTGCTGAGATTACAGGCATGAGCGACTGCCAGCTCAGATTTAAGGTGAGAGAATGATACCCGAGACATGGTTCTTGCTAGGCACCCACAGAACACCACACCCATTTTATGGACAAAGACTCCCCTGGGCAAGGTGGATACTGCCAGTGATCCCAGCATTTTGGAAGGCTGGGGCGGGAAGATCACTTGAGCCCAAGAGATTGAGACGAGCCTGGCCAATATAGCAAGACCCCATCTCTACAAAAAATAAAAATCTTAGGCAGGCATGGTGGTGCGCTCCTGTGGTCCCAGCTACTCCGGAGGCTGAGGTGGAAGGCTCATTTGAGTCTGGGAGGTTGAGGCTGCACTGAGCTATGACTGTGCCACTGCACTCCAGCCTGGGCCACAGAGCCAGACCTTGACTCAAAAATGTGAATAAAAATAAAAAACCAGCTGGGCGCAGTGGCTCACGCCTATAATCCCAGCACTTTGGGAGGCTGAGGCGGGTGGATCACAAGGTCAAGAGATCGAGACCATCCTGGTCAACATGGTGAAACCCCGTCTCTACTAAAAATACAA